GGGAGGAGGCTAAAAAGTGCCTAAAAGTGGCGATTTTTAACCCGTTTCGGCGAGTTTGTGGGCGGCGGGGACCTGAAAAGGTGTTTTTGGGGCACGTCTCTGGTGGGCGAAACGCCTTTTCCCCTTGGTAGCGTTCTTCCAAACTTTGTGCGTGTTTGGAGTCGTGGGTTTGTTGTTTTCTGCTTTCTTTTCTTTTTTATTCGTAGAAAAATAACGCAATAGCGAGATTTCGCTCTGAAAACGTGATTATTTCAAAGTGTTTGGAGTCACCTTGTTAATGTCCTTTCTAACGAGCGGTGTGTTCCACTGTAGATAAAATAATTTAACATTAATTGGCTGCTCCTTGTTACCGCTTCTCAAAGTACGCGACCTGTATCGATCATCTGGTTGTTCCTACGGCTTTGGCACGAGGAAATTATTTAATTGGCCTTAATTAACCTGTGGGACTTGCTGCTAAAATAATCGGGAACCAGAAGGTTTAGGGGTCAGGAAGAAATGGAATGCTTTTTTTTTTTCCCCCCCTCTAGGTTTGGATACGTGCAGTTAAATTATTCAGCTTCAGAATCGCGTTAGCAGCTTCGTGTACGAGGGCAGCTCCTGCCCCGGGCTACGCGATAGGAAGCGATAAAAGCGTTGAAATTTGGCGGTTTTTACCAAATTTGAAGGGTGCTTGGAGGAAGGGGAACTGTTGCACGCTTGCGTTTTTGAAATCGGCGGGTGTCGGCAATCTGGGGCCGCGAGTCTAAATTTAAACCAACCGATACTTCCCGGCGCCCAAGCTGTGGTTTCGGCGAAGCGCGCGGAGGGTTTTGGGGTTCGTTAAGCCGACCGGTGACTCGCCGTCCTCTTCCAAGGTGACGGAGTTGGTGCTCGATAACTGCCGATCCAGCAACGGCGAAATCGAAGGCCTGAACGATTCCTTTAAAGAGCTCGAGTTCCTCAGCATGGCCAACGTGGAGCTGACGTCGCTGGCCAAGCTCCCCACGTTGAGTAAGCTCCGAAAGGTACGTGCGGCCCCGCTCCGCCGGCGGTGGAGAGGTAAAAAGCTGCGGGGAACGACCTGCAGGCGCGACGCTGGGGCTCTGTGAGGTGGAGGGCATCATCCTGTTGCCGTCCGTGTCCAGTGTGTGAGGGTTTGATAAGCTCTGAAATAGTTTGGGGTATCGGCTGTTAATTGTGGCCAACGACTCGTGGGGCTGGTAAAGCCGTGGAGGTTGGCCATTGCTGGTGGTTGAGGAGAGGCCGTTGTGTTGGCCTGATGGTGAAGTTCTGTCACACGGCGCTGGCCGGGTAAAGGCTCGTGGTGAATTTCACGTTTCTGATTTCCAAACCCATTTTTCGGGAGTGGTTTTTAATTCCCCAGGGAGCCTCGAAGGAACTTCCTGACAGCTAAAGCCTGTTGACTTGCGCGGCTCTTCCCAAGTGTTGCAATTAACCTGTTAACGATCCAAAATGACCTGGTTTGGATCTAATGGTAAGAAGCCAACTGCTTCATGACTTTTTTTCCTTTTTTTTTCTTTTTTTTTTTTTTTTTGGTGATAGTTGGAGCTGAGCGACAACATCATTTCAGGAGGCCTGGAGGTCCTCGCGGAGAGGTGTCCGAATCTCACATATCTAAATCTAAGCGGCAACAAAATCAAAGATCTCGGCACTGTGGAAGCTCTTGTAAGTACAAAGTGAGAGGGGCCGAGGGAAAACTTTAAATACTGTTGGTTTTATCAGGAATAAATTAACATTTTTGGCAACGGAACGGTACAAACGTAGCTGTGAGGGCTGCGTGTGAGCAGGTTTTTCAGGCGCAGCGTAGAAACAGCAAATGAGGGGTTTAATACGATGGCAAAAATTAGCGAGCACGAAGATCCAGCGTGATACCTGCTGGTGTTCCTTTGCAGCTGAAAGGCAGGCGAAATTAAATTTCTTCTCTTTACCTGGCATAGGTTTTATATTTTAGGGGGTTTTTGATTTTTTTCCTTACCAGCTCAGGTGAAATGGATCCTGTGGTGTTTGAGGTTTGTCGGGTGTTCCACTCGGTCCTGACTTGATTAACTCAGTGTCACAGTTGTTAAGAGGCAGCGCTTGTAAAGGCGCCGCCGTAAAATTCCTTCGGTGGCGGTGGCAGGATGAACTGAAGAAGAGATTTTTTGAGCTTCGGTTTCGTCTTTGAAAGGAAAGGAGCCAAGTCAGGTCTCGGCAATCCCCTCACGCTCATTTGTTGAGGTGTGGTTTGTCTGATAAGGAACTGGCTGAAGTTAGGATGGGGCTGTGGGGTCGCTGAAACACAGGAGGAAGCTCCAGGCGCTGCCTCGTCGCCTGGTTTTTCAACCGATTATGGGGTTTTTTTAGGGCTTTGGTACAGGCTGCGTGTTTTTAAAACTGCTAAAGATTCTCCATTGACTTGGTCGACCAGATAAAGCAGTTACAGTGCTCTGTAGAAGGAACACACGCTCTTGTTTAGACGTTGCAGGTGGCTCCTTCCGTGTGTGTGTGAAGTCTGAAGGGTGAGAAGAATTGCCAGTGGTTTGGTTTGGAAAGCAAGTTCTGTATCATAGTCACAAATCCTACCCAGAGCCTCTTGCCGGCCCTTCACGAGATGCTTTTCGCTTTTATTTTCAGCAAAATCTCAAAAACTTGAAGAGCCTTGACCTATTCAACTGTGAGATTACGAACCTCGAGGATTACAGGGACAGCATCTTTGAGCTGCTTCAGCAAATCACGTACCTAGATGGGTTTGATCAGGAAGATAACGAGGCACCGGATTCGGAAGATGATGACGATGAGGGTAACTTGTGCCCTAAATGATTGGGGAACGGTACGCGGGGTCATGTCTGCCCGGGGGCTGCTCACGCAGTGAAAGGTGGAAGCCTCTAATTATAAGAACTCAATGAAAGGCAATTAGTTGATAGGAGGAATGTGAAAATAAACCCAATATTTGGAAATAGATTTATGGGATATTAAGTTGGAAATGAATAGGTGTTAAATCACCTTGTCATTTCTCATAACGTGCTTAACCGAAGCTGTGAAAGCGATTATACGGGCAGACACAGAAACCGAGTAAGAGATCATCTCTTTGGGACTGTAGGTGTCTCATAGTTCCTAGGCGGCGATTAAATAAGATACATGTAATCTGTTAAGCTGGTTTTGCCTCTAAATATTTTAGGGTTTGATTTTTGTGGAGAAGCCTCTCTTCTCCTCTCACCGACGAAACCCTGGGCTCCCTCATAGGAGTTTGCATACGTGGCTGCTTCAGGCGTCAAGAATGTTGCCCGAGGCTTGTGATGTGAAAACATCTGTAGCCTTTCTTTGGGGGCGAAAAAAATCAAGAAGATTAACTTCATTAAAATTGTGCTTGTTTCCCACGCGGTGTCTGCATTTGAAAAAAAAAAAAACCACATAAAAAAAAACCCCAAACCCCTCTGGGAAAGAAGTTACAACTGGCTTGAGCTGGTGTATACAAACTTGGATAAAGAGGAGTTAATAAAACATAACTTTTAGCTTAAGCGTATCCTTTATTTCAGAAGGAGATGAAGATGATGATGATGAAGATGAGGATGAAGCTGGTCCTCCCGGAGAGTATGAAGAGGAAGATGATGAAGACGATGGAGGTTCTGATTTGGGGGAAGGGGAAGAGGAGGAGGAAGTCGGTCTTTCGTACCTGATGAAAGAAGAAATTCAGGTAAAGTTTGGAAATCCAATCGAATCTAAGAAGTGAAGAGAAACTGTGGTTTTAACGCAATTCCCCGTCGATTCGGACGTGTTTTGCTGTAGTAAATGGTGGGGTTGTTACCGTCCGTGCACTTGAAAACGTTCTTGGCCGTGTGAGTTGCCGTGGAGAATGGCCCACCGGATCTTTTGAGGAGTGCTGTGCTAAAAAGCAAGATAAGAAAATACACACATTTTACCAGGTTATGAGTAGATCTTGCAGATACAAACTGGCCGTGCCCAAGCAATGATCAGGTAGAAGTAAAATCCGTGAGTCCTGGTTTGTGCTTCCCTGACAGCTACAGGGGTTTCGGAGGGAGAACGACCTTGGTGGGGATTTGTGCGCAGGCAACTCGCACTTTTCGCATCAAATAAACTCTTTTGGGTGTCACTTCCATTCCTGGTACTTTTGATAAGAGCTCACTTCCCATCAGCTGCGTGTCACGTCGGCCTGCAGAAGATCTTGAACTTGACTCTTTGCTGTCCTTCGGTTTGTTCTCGTGTGATTTGCTTACAAACGTAACCTTGTTTCTGCGTTACTCCTCTGACGAGGTAATGGCTGTAGCGCAGCTCAGGAAGCCACAGCTGAATAGTTAAATCTGGTTTGAAACCAACACCTTAGAGGTGGTTCTTTGGGAAATGAACGACGTGCTGTGAGCGTGCTGCACAACCAGACACAGCCTTCGTGTTTGGCGAGGTTGGGAGCAGGCGGTGGGCAGGGCGAGGGGTGGGAAGGTTTGGAGGTGCAGGTGTCCGGTAGCAAAAACTTCACGTAGAGCGTGGCCTCAGAACAGAGAAGGGGTGGAATTTTCCCGATTTTTTGCTCAACATCAACATGTAAAGCAAAACTTCAATTGTAAAAACCATCTCCCTGTGTCTGTAAAGGATGAAGATGATGACGATGACTATGTTGAAGAAGGAGGTGATGAGGAGGAGGGAGGTAAGTTCTTTCTGAAGTTGTGACTAAACCAGTTGGTTCTTCAGAGTTCTTCAACTTGACACGTTTGGGTTGTGCAATTTAGTGGCGTAAATCCCCGTTTGGCTGGTCTGTTCCTGAAGGTCTGTGAAATGTTTCAGGATTGGTTTAAGCAAGAGCTGGTAGTGAAGTAGCTGTGCAGTATTTGATAGGTTTTGTCTGCTCCCTTGTAAAATTAAAACAAGAAATGACAGTTTTCAAAGGCTCTTGTTGAAGCTGTTTTCTAAAGTGAACGACTACATCTCCTACACAGTTAGTAATTTTAATTTTCCAGCACGGAGAGGAGAGGGACTCTTCTGTCTACCTTGCAAATGTCACATGGGTGTAAAATACCTTGGTTCCTGCACTGGAGGCCCCACTGGTGAAGCCCCAGAAGCAGCTGCAGCAGCTCTGTCTTGCCCTTTATCAAGCTAAAAGTGGCTTTTCCAGTAAAACCTTCGTGCTTTGGAGGCAGCTCCTAGAGGCGAACTCAACGTGGTCTCTTGTGTCATGACTTAACTCGCGAGCTTCATTGTATTTTTTTTCTACCTAGTCTTTTTATCAACGGTTGTAACTTTTTAATTTCTTAAGTTATCATTTTGGTGTCAGACACAGGCAAAAGCTTGCAAAAAAAACCCCCAAAGTGAGTGTGTGTGTGGTTCACGGTGCTGTCAGACAGCACGGCGCGTCGCATGGGTATAACCGCTGGAGAAGTCGTAGCGTTCTTACAGGCTGATGCTGTTTCTTTAGTGTCTTGCAGAACATCAAGTTCTGTCTGTACAGTGTGGGTTATTTTAGTATTTTGTCGTAAAATAACTTGCTATTTTACCTTTCGATATTTTTAAAAAGGACCTGAAAGAAGTTAAAATCTTAAAATTAGCTGGCTTTTCCTTCCTTGCTCTTCCAGAACTTGGCTTTTCTAGTGGTTAGGATCTTGGTCCCAACCCTTAAAACTTTGCTGCTTGAGGTGGTTGGTATTAACCCTGCAGCCTGGTTCCACACCTGTGTAAAACTGTAGAGTTGAGTTGGTGTTTCTCACCAGACTAGTCCCCACCTCACCTGTGCGCTTGGCTCGACGGAGCAGTTTTTGGAGATGCATCTTGGAAAAACTGGAATTCTGAAGTAGTAATGCTAATTCCTTGCTTTTTACAAATGCAGGCTTCGAATCTATTAAGCCAACGAAGCAGGCGGTCAGGATGGCTAATGAGCCAGGAAATGACTGCTGGAAAAGAAATCTATTAGATTTGACGAAATTGCATTTCATGATTTCACCACCAGAGCGCACAGTCCACGGGCTGAATTAAGCACGTTTCTAAGAATAAGCTCCAAGATGTTGATGCAAGATGCTCGTATCGGTTTGGCGCTGGAGAGGGAACGGAGAGGGTTTCACTTGGTATCTGCAGAAACTGCTGGCGTTGAGGCAGGGTGTTTGCAGCTACCGACAGGTAACGGCGAGGAGACAGAAAACTGTCATTTGTGGTTTAGTTCACAAAGATGTGTTAACAGAAACACTTTTTCTTTATGTAACTCAACTTTGTATCAATAATTCCTGTTCCAGCAGCGGGTGCATTAACAGCAGACAAACAGATAAATTCATTTCACTTACCTTTTCTGAAAGTCTGACGTTGCGCTGATGATGTCTGAGGGTGGAAGGTAACACGCTGTCTGCACGTGTCTTTTCCTTAGCAGGGGGCGTCCGAGGGGAGAAGAGGAAACGAGACCCTGAAGATGAAGGCGAGGAAGAGGAGGATTAATTGGTTAGAGACACAAGTAGGACCAGACTCTTTCAGTTCCAGAATACGCAATAGTGATTATGCAGATCTGTATGTCTCCATGTACCATAGATGTCCCCACAGAAGATAATATGTTAACTTTTTATAGGAGAAGTGTGGTTTTACTATTCTTGCCCTTTTTATCATTCCAAATAAGATATAATAGCCTGTTAGTGAACCTCTATGTAGAGAACAATTTTCAGCCCTATAATCACTGAAGCCATTGTCAAGTTTTTTTCCCCCTAGGCTTTTATTTGGAGCTCTTTGATTTTCTACAAGCTTGCTGTGTTGGTCATCGTTAGCCCCGAGTTAAAACACCCGTTTCATGTGGGTTTAATAGGGTGAATTTCCTTCAAGATTTTCGAGTTTTTATACTTCAAAAGCTGAACTCAAACCCGCTATATGGCAAATTCCGGTCTCTCTTCACCAAGACGTTGACAGTAGTCTGAATTTACCAGGGATTCTATTGGAACTCAGCAACTAGGTTACACCTTTATTTCAGCTTTCTGAAAGGTGACTCCTGTCATATTTTCTGAAGTCTTCGATCCCATTTTGTGTGTTACGTTGGAAAGCCTAAGTGGGTTTCAGAAGATTATTTTTAATTCCTGCTTGTTCAGATGTTCAGGGTTTGCTCGAGTACTCGCTGGATACCCTCGAGAACGTCTCGTGGCAAACCGAGAGGGTCGTAACCCATAAATTTTCTCCAAAACACGTAGTTGTCGCAGGTATTAACAGAAGCAAATAATGTGTAGTTTTAAACCGTTTCGCTAGAAGTCTCTGTTAAACTTTCACTCACTTCGCATTGTCATTTTGGGAATTCTGCAACAGTCGTGGCATTTGGCTATAAAATATATGCATTTCTAATGCAGACGGTAACGGGTAACTCCTTCAGGCACGTGTGTTGCTTTTCTGTTTGTGTTTTTCCTTTTTTTTTTATTTCAAACACCCCCCCAACTTTTATAGAATCACTGAAGGGGGAAAGATGAAGAGAAGTTAGTCTTTCTTAGCAGGTCCCCTTGTAAACTTTTCAAATCTGGTAGTTGACAAAAGGCCCAAGTTCCTGTATAATACTAGTTTGATAGCTTGGGGTTTTTATATCGAACGGCTGCAGGAGCTTGTTCCGTTGCGTACAGTTGGTAGCGAGCGTGGGAGATGTGCAGACAAGGAATCTTTTTTTCTTTTTTCTGGCAGCATGGTTGTGACCAACAGGTCTTAATAATTGTGCCCCGGTGGATTCGTGTTTTCTCCTTGAGCCACAGCGAAACACGTTTGGCCACAGAGCGTTCCTCCTTTCAGTCGGGATCTGGATTTAAACCAGTGGTCTTGCCATCCGACTAATCGACATCGTTTCCCGTAGGTGCTGAACCAAATATCACACACAGCTTTATTCGAGAGACTTATTTTTCTATCTGTCTTGGCTGGCAATAGCTGCCCTTAAACTGGGGGAGACACCAAGGGCGGGGAGGAGCGAGATGTCCTGGCCCTAAGCGCGAGTCAGTCACCCGCCCGTCAGTTACCTGTGAATATTTCATAGGTATTTCACATGCGAGCAGACTTGAAATGTGACTTCCAGCTCTTAAATCCAGTTTAGCTACTGCAGGGTTGAAGTTCTGCAAAGCCCAGTTACTTGTGTGTGCGCGTTTGGGTGGGTTTGGGGTTTTTTTTTGGGTTTTTTGGTTTTTTCCCCCTCCGAATAGAGCCTTAAATCCTGGTTTCTCATGTAGCTGGAGAGCGCAGCAGGCTGTGAGCGGCGCCTGGGCAGAGCGGGTCGGGCAGATCGCAACAGGCTTGGAGATGAACTGACTAAATGGGGGTTTGCGTTTATATTTTTCTTTTTTTTTTTTAAACAAAACCACGAATTATCTGTGAAGACACTAGAAAAGTAGTGGTAAAAACTACATTTGCAACCACAATCGGAATTCCTGTGTTTGTGTATGAATCCTGACTGAATAGAAACCTTAGGTAAGTGCACATCCGACCTTGTCGTGGAGGCTCTGTGTTCGAGGCAGTTGCTTTGTGCTCAGCTTTGAGATAGAAAAGTGTGGTTTTTCCCCACCTTTTTTGCTCTTTTTTTTTTTTTTAAGTCGTGGCGAATGACTGAACCCTATTATTTATAAGCGTGTACTTTGAGGTACCTCATTGTCAGGGTTTTCCTTAACTGTCTTTTACTGATGCATACAAAATTAGTTTTAAATGGAGGGAAAAAAAAGCCACAAAATTTTCTATTTTGATGGATCATTCAAGTATTGGTCTTATTTCAGTCGGCGAGTCCGGTCGTGACGCTGGATGAGCGAACAGGACAAAGCAGAGCGAGCTCAGAGGGGTTTAGCAGACCTTCCCTAGGACAGGCAGACTTAACGCTTCCTAAAAGCAATTCCCAGCGTCGTGCATCAGCCGCTAGGTCTAAAAAAAAAAAATCTGAGCCTCACACAGAACGTAACTTCCGGAGTGACTTTGTCTTTTCCTCAGTGTTACCATGTTTGTCAGCTTGGCATGCGGTTAAAACAGCATAGCATTTTTTTAAAAAATAAGTAATACAGAGCCTCCAGATAACTTTTGAAACTTTTTTGCTTGGTGGGTGGTCTTTTCATGCAAATATGTAAGGGTGGGTTTTATATTTTGTAGAGGTTTTTGTCCTATTTTAATGCTCTTTGTATGGCAGTATGTATATAGTGTGTTTTGGTTCCTTATCAAACTCTTTCCTTAAACTTTGGAGTAACTGATTTTGTGCAACTGTGTTTTGAATAAAGCCATGACAGTGTTAAATTAAAGAAAACAACCCTGCAGCACTCTTCTGAGAATTTTTAGTTGTAACAAAACATGTTTTCTCCCCTCCCCACCCCCCACGTGTGCTGTAAATTTTAAATTAAAAAGTTTTCAAACCGAATTATTTCAAATAAATCGAGACTATTGTACTGGATTACTTCTTTTAGTATGCACAGCTGTGGAGACTGTGGGGTTTCTGAAGGCTGGAGGGAGAGGTAATTACTCTTCCCCGTTACCGTTTGGGTTTGGGGGAAACCTGCAGAATTGTGTTTTCTGGGGCTGGAAGCCAGGCTTTTTCACACTTGGTACGGTCACAGATGGAGGACGCTACGGAAAACGCTCAGTGGTGTCTGGATGGTTCCCTTAGAGTGTTTCCAGGTGAATTTAGCGTGGAAACGAGCGTTGGAGCAGGCAGAGCTTTTTGCATACGGGGTAAACCGACGCCATTCGAGCGTGGCCGAGCTCTGCAAGTCTCTCTCAAGCAAGTGCTTGGTTATATTTGGCTTTTTGTAAATGCTGACTCGGTGTGCCGGACAGGCCGAGCTTCTCAAAGCAGCTGCCTGGGTCTGTGCGAAATGAGTTTGAGAACAACGTTTTAAAAAAAAAAAAAAAGCTGTTTCTCCTATACAGCTCGATGTGGCATTGTGTTTTATTTTGGGATTGGTCCAGCATTCTTGGCAAAAATCCCCTGGATGCGCTTGAGAAAGCTACTGACTAAACAGGCTCTTCTTCTCCTAGATGAGCGATTAGCCAAGAAATGGGTGGTGGTTTGCTGGGATTGTTTTCTTTGTTATTTTTTAAGTGTGGGGAGGAATTGCCTTTCCATCTAAACCGTTATGTTGGGCACTCAATCCCTACGCCCCCATTTGCCTACTGGTGTTGAGACCAAAAGGGCAACCTGAGCATTAATATTACTTTTAACAGGAAGTTTTCATCTACCTTTTGGGGATACCTGGTGCGTTTATGTTAAGTAAAAAACCAGGCTGTTCCATTCTGGTACGTGCGCGGAGGAGACGAGAAGAAATCCAGCGCTGCGCAGAGGCACGTCTTCAAAATCAGGAACAACTTGAGGTGTGGGCTCCCGAACTCGTTGTGTCGGAGGCCGGCGGCGTGTGGTGACCTGTC